AAGAATCTGCCTTCCAATTCAGGGGACGCAGGTTCGATCCCTGGTTGGGGAGCTAAGATCCCACATGCCGCAGGGCAACTAAGCCTGCGCACCACAACTACTGAGCTGGAGCGCCTCAACTAGAAAAGAGAAAACCTGCATGCCACAACTAGAGAGAAGCCCATGCACCACAATGAAGATCCCATGTGCCGCAACGAGGACCAGACACAGCCAAGAAAAAACAAATAAATAAATGAAATGTGTCTGGATAGAGCCGAACACAATGCTGGACACAGAGCATGTTTGTTTCCTTCCACACTCCTTTTGTTCAAGGAAGGGGCAAGAAGAACAGTGAATTCCCCCTCTCCAAGCTCTTCTCTGTCAGTGTCATGCAGTTAATGCCAGATACCAGACATATGTTTCTAAACCATCATGCAAGATTCAAGGACAAAGAAAGTGGAAATCTAGAGAGGCAAAAGACAGGATTTTGCTCCTTTCTTATAGAAAGAATGGAATCCAAAGAGATCATCTTGCTCAGTCCCTCGCCTCAGGAAGGACTTCTCTTAAACCATTCCACATAAAGGAGACTCCTCTATTTGTGAAGAACCCCAAACTAATTTTCATATGGTATTCCCCAGGAAGTCTGACTCCAGTGTACTCTTTTTCCCCCCACAGTGTACTCTTAATCACCACATTATTACTGTCTCACCTAACATTAAGCTGTCTTACTTATTTATTTATTTATCTATCTACCTATCTATCTATTTATCTATTGGCTGCCCTGCGTGGCTTTCAGGAACCTGGGCCAAGGCAGTGAAAGCCCAGAATCCTAACCACTAGGCCACCAGGGAACTCCCAAGCTGTCTAATTTAAATCCTACTTGCTGCAATGTTAAACCTGGTTTCTGTTCACCTGCACTGATAAAACCTGCAAACTACAAGTCACACTCTTCTGGGTAAGAACTCTCAACAGACTTGCTTATATTTGTGCTCTTCTCTGGATTAATTCCCACCTCTTTTAGCCTTGACTCATAAATCTACAATTTTTTTTTTAAGTCTTTACTGAATTTGTTACAATATTGCTTCTGTTTTATGTTTTGGTTTTTTGGCTGCCAGGCATGTGGGATCTCAGCTCCCGGCCCAGGGATCCAACCCACACCCCCTGCATTAGAAGGTGCAGCCTCAATCACTGGACCGCCGGGGAAGCCCCTAAGTCTACAATTTAAAACTCTTTAAATGCTTTTTCACTCTCACAAATGCCTTTTCTTGCCTTTTAGCTTCAGAATCTGGAAAAAGAGAAAGGACTTTAGTCAGAGTGACCAATTTACTGAGTGAAAAGGGAGTTGCAACTATATTTGGAGAACAAGATGATCTAGCCCTGGTCAAAGGGTGTGGTACTATTCCAGTTAAACCATAAGTTCTACCATATTCTCAGATCATATCTGAGAAGGGAGTGTGGGTCCAGAGAAGGGAGTCTTACCTTCTGGGCTTGGGCAGGTTCGGTGAGGACAAGCGTGAAAAGGCCCAGGCAGATTTCCTCGTGCTGCGGGGGGCCTTTGCATACCTGGGATATGAGGAAAAAAAAAAATAGTTGTCACTCACAGGAGGGAAGTTCTTGAGCACAGCTGCTCCCAGAAAATTTGGGACTCTTGAGTGACCTGCAAAGGAGAATCATCAACTCTTAAATCTGATGATTTCGTTCTCCTAAAAGTGATGGGGCATCTGTTTTGGGAGAGAGGTGGAGGGAAAGGATGGACCCATACTGCTTTCTCCAAGGCCTGATGAAGGATAGAGGCAGGAAATAAAGAGTGTTCAAAATGAGAAAAAAAAAAAACCCTACTCCACACCTTTACCAGACCTTAACAGCCTTTAGTAGAAAGGGAGCTATAAAGAGTCATTCATGGATTAACAAGTGCACCTACCAAGTCAAGACCTTGGGCAAATCACTGAACCTCTGATATTTGTAAGGTGAAGACATAATAAGAATAATTACTACTAATAAGTAAGAAATATTTACTGAACATTCACTATGTGCCAGAAACTACTCTAAATCCTTTACATGTATTACTTTGAATCCTTTCAACCTCACAGACTGATTAAGAAATGTAAAAGATCAAATATGTGAGAATGATTTACAAAGAAAAAAGCCACCACAGAACTATGAGTTATTTTTTAAAGTTGTTATTCAAAGACACCTAAGGGTCCAACAGATGGGATTCCCACATTAAGAAAGAAAGAGAGGAGAGGGGGGTGGTGGTGGGATGAACTGGGAGATTGGGATTGACATATATACACTAATATATATAAAATAGATAACTAATAAGAACGTGCTGTATAAAAAGTACATAAATAAATAAAAGAAAGAGAGGAGTTGGGAAGCCTGGTTCAGGAAACCAAGACCTTAACTTCAACCCCCTAGTTCTTAACCACTGAAGTCTTTCCATCTTTTTTTTTTTCTTTCTTTCCATCTTTTTGATCATGTCTGAAAGCTTTCAAAGAAGCAGAAATGGGTACGGGGAGAATATTATACTCACGTAGGCATTGAGGGCGTCATTGGCCTCTCTCTCTGAGACACCAGTAGTCATCGATGTCACAATGCTCATACATCTTTCCAACCTCTGTGAAGGGGTGAGAAAAAATTCAGAGTGCTCCATACCACCACCTGTGATGTATTTCTGGCCCCCAATAAAGCTTCTCAAAAATTTAAATCTCATCACGTCTCTAGACCTAACTACCAGTTTACAAGTCAAGTCACCATGAGGATATAATCAGCAAAGTCCAGAATGTATAAATCATGACAGGCTTCCTGATTTCTTTAACATTTCAATTGCAAGGAAAAAAGCAGAGAGGGAGGGCTTCCCTGGTGGCGCAGTGCTTGAGAGTCCGCCTGCCGATGCAGGAGACGCGGGTTCGTTGGAACAAGGTAGTGGTAAAAGTTGCACAACATTGTACTGAATGTCACTGAATTTGTACACTTTAAGATAGTTTCAATGGTAAATTCTATGTTATGTGTATTTTACCATAATAAGAAAAAGCAACCAAAAACGATAGCCCAGTGTATTTGAATAAGGGTCAGAAATGAAGACTTTACGAATAACAGATCTATGTGGAAGTGTTGAAATAAACCCCCATGAGACCAGGATGGGCAGACATCAAGCTGTGTAAGTACAGGATGTCTGTTTTCTTATACCAATTTCACACCCTGCCTTTATGTCCTCCAAAGTTCCCCAAAGGAAAAGTAAAACCCAGGAAAAAATGTGAGAATATTACGGCCATGTATTAAAAGAAGCTTAAGGGAATTCCCTGGCAGTCCAGTGGTTAGGATTCTGTGCTTTCACTGCCGGGGCCTGGGTTCGATCCCTGGTAGGGGAACTAAGATCCCACAAACCACGAGGTGTGGCCAAAAAAAAAAAAGAGGCTTAAGATTTCCCTTGAATAAAATAAGAATCCATGAGTCTGTGATGATAGATAGATATGTACATACATGATAAATAAAGAAGGGAAAGCTCTTCCTTACAGTGAAATGCCAACTAAAAATGCAGAAGGAATGACAGGAATAATAATTGATTTAGGCAAATATCATCAATGAATGCTAAAACCAGAGGCAAAACTTTCACAAGAGAATATTTACATAGGTTCAAAATACTAATTACAAAGAGAAAATAACTATAGGAAATCCTGAAGGATACCACCTTAATCAAGTGATCAGAGTTAATATCCCAAATAACAAGACAAACTGACAGCTGACATACGCGCCTCTGATATGATGCACTGAAAAGGCTAAACATCACTTCTATGGTTTTCTTGCCCAAAATGAATCATCTCAGTCTAATCATGAAGAAATTTTGACAACCCAAATTGAGAGAGATTTATAAAATAACTGGCCTGTCAAAGTGTTTAAGGTGAAGGACAGAGATAGGACTAAGAATTAAAGAGACAGTACACCTAAATGCAATGTGTGATCCTGGACTGCTATAATGGACATTATTGGGACAACTGGTAAAATATGAATATGTACTATAAGAGTAACGTATCAGGCCTCCCTGGTGGCGCAGTGGTTGAGAGTCCGCCTGCCGATGCAGGGGACACGGGTTTGTGCCCCGGTCCGGGAAGATCCCACATGCCGCGGAGCGGCTGGGCCCGTGAGCCATGGCTGCTGAGCCTGCGCTCCACAACAGGAGAGGCCACAACAGTGAGAGGCCCGCGTACCACAAAAAAATAAAAATAAAACAGGTATTATGTAACAGAGGGTCCTTGTTCTTAGGAAATACTCCCAGAAGTATTTAAATCTTAAGTGGCAATGCGGCTGCAACTTACTCTCAAAACGTTAAAATAATAACATATATAGGGCTTCCCTGGTGGCACAGTGGTTGAGAGTCCGCCTGCCGATGCAGGGGAAAACGGGTTCGTGCCCCGGTCTGGGAAGATCCCACATGCCGCAGAGAGGCTGGGCTCATGAGCTATGGCCGCTGAGCCTGAGCGTCCGGAGCCTGTGCTCCGCAGCGGGAGAGGCCACAACAGTGAGAGGCCCACATACCGCAAAATAAATAAATAAATAAATAACATACATAGAGAGAGATAATGAAAAAGCAAATGCAGCAAATGTTAACAATTGGTGAATCTGGGTGAAGAGTATATGAGAGTTCTATGTCTTACAATTTTTCTCTAAGCTTGAAATTATTTTAAAATCGTTATTAAAAAATTAAAGGGATATATCAACTGAATGCAACAAATGTGTGATCCTTGTTTGATTACTGATCTGAAAAACCAATTATAAAAAGAATTTATGGGCTTCCCTGGTGGCGCAGTGGTTGAGAGTCCGCCTGCCGATGCAGGGGACCTGGGCTCGTGCCCCGGTCCGGGAGGATCCCACGTGCCGCGGAGCGGCTGGGCCCGTGAGCCATGGCCGCTGAGCCTGCGCGTCCGGAGCCTGTGCTCCACAATGGGAGAGGCCACAACAGTGAGAGGCCCGCGTAGCGGGGGGGGGAAAAAAAAAAAAAAAAAAAAAGAATTTATGGGAATTCCCTGGTGGTCCAGTGGTTAGGACTCTGCACTTTCACTGTAGCGGGCCCAGGTTCAATCCCTGGTTGGGGAACTAAGATCCCGCAAACCATGCCACAGGGCAAAAAAACAAAAAAACCAATAAAGCACCTGAGGAATTTAAGGAAAAAAACCTTAAAAAAATTTTTTTATGAGACAGTCAGTTTGAACAATGAGTATATTATTACACTGAGGAATTATTGTTAATATTTTTTGGTATGATACTGTGGCTATGTTAAAAAGAAAAAAGTCCATCTCTCACAGACACACATATGAAATATCTACAGATGAAACGATACAGCTTGGATTTGCTTCAAAATAATCCAGAGGAGACTAAAGGGAGATAAAACAAGATTGCCGTGTACTGATAAGTACTGAAGCAGAGTGATGGCTCCAGGGCAATTATACTATTCTATTTTTTTATGTTTGAAATGTCCCTCCAAAAAGATAAAAACAAACTTTAAAATAAAAATAAGTGTAGGAAAGAAAAGGACTAATGAAGAACAAAAGAAAAAAACTAAAACCTTCCTGGGTCTCTAGTCAAACAAAGGTGGGGAGAGCTGCATTAAAGTCCATCCAAGGACCGTTCTTAATTACAAAGGCTAACTCTAAGACAGCATTTGCTCAACCTTCTAAGGAGATTTTAAGTCACGGATCCTGTTCCAAAGCATTTAATACTAAACACTGAAAAAATATTGACAAAATGTATCTCATTTAAGTCAGCGAGCCTCTCCATTATTACCACCTAAACTACTTCCTGAGTCTTTTAAAATTTTATCTTGAGGATTAACCCCAAAACTGTTTAAGAAAAGCACTTACCAATTCCCAGTGATAATGATGCTAGCAAAACAGGGACAAAGGCAGACAATTTACCTCCCCCAATCCTAAAGGTCATCACAAAACATCTTGTTGAGAACTACCACATTGTCAAGAACCGACAAATAAGGACAACAGGAAAGAGGTCTAGGAATGAAAGACCACCATGTTTCTCCTTTGACCATCATCCTGAGTTTGCCTACATCCGTCCCTACCTAAGAGCAAAGCAGAACCGAGTGTTAAGACAAGGAGCTCCCACAGCCACAAAAATTCAACCTAAATTAGGCCCAAAGCCACGCAGGTTTGACAACGTCACTACCCAGCATCAGGTCTGACTATCCTCCAAATTAGGTCAGATAAGCACGCTTAGCCTTAATCAACAGCACCTGCGTACTTGTGAAAAGGAGCTATGAGATCACAGGAAAGCTGAGCTGTACATCTCACAATCCACCTCTCCCACAAACTCTGAGATCCATCATTACCTAGCCCAGCTCCGATATGATAGGGGGAGGGAGGAAAAAAACCTCAGGTTGTATTTTCTCTTTTTAAATCTTATCCCTCTCCTCCTAAGATAGTTATCAATGACTGGAGGACCAGTTCCTCCAGTTGCTAAATCCAGGGTGTTCTTGCTGGGAGCTCTGGGAGGCCTTGCTTATCCGGCCTGGGTTAACAGCTTCAGAGTGGAGGAAGACGGTGAGCAAGCAGCAGCACAGCATCCTAAAACCCTAGATATTACTTCCTACTAAAAGGAAGAAATCTCTGTTGAATCAACAGAGATGCAAGGGAAGTCAAAAGAGCAGCTGTCTGAGGAGCCAACTGACAAGCAAGGAAGAGAGGGTCCCTCCACCACTGGCAAGCCTTAGGCTAATCTTAGGTGAGTTACCTAACTTACCAAGACTTATTTAATCCTTTACTTATAATACCCTGGTGTTCTTACCTGAAAAATAGAGACAAAGCCTATATCACAAGGTTGCTCTGAGGATTAAACAAGATAACATACGTGAAAGCACCTAGCAGGTAGCCTCAGTTGAATTAGACTATTCCATCTGTGAAAAAGCTCAGCGATCACACAACTAAGTCCATGAGGACCAGACCGCCCCCTAACGCCCCCTGCCACTACTTCTAATGGCATGCCCTCAAAGATCCCTGAAAACTGAGCCCTCCTACTACAGGACGTGGGTAAGTCCCTGACCAGGCTGCAAAGCTTCCTCTCCTACTTTTGCCTTCTATGAGAGAAGAGTAACGGGAGAGGGGAGGAGGCCTGATGGATGGACCCTGCACCAAGGTCCTCACACAAAGCTGGATACACGGCCCTATGGGCTGGCCTAATTTCTAGCTGTGATGTAACACAGAGACCTTGGACTAAACCAGGTTTCTCTAGGCCCCTCCTCAATATTCTAAGCTCCACTCAGAGGCCTGAGTCAACTCTATGGGTCACTGCCCAGTCAAGAAATAAAAGTGGCCTCTTGGAACAGTGAGGCCCAGCTAAGGATGTAGAAAGTGGGAGAGTCCAGAATTTGGAGGCGTGGGTAAAAGCAATGAGGAAAGAAATGTGAGGGTCAGTCCTTCCTAGGCAATAGAAGTATATAAAAGATGCTGCTCTTCCTGAACTACAGAAACTTTTCCAAACAGAGATGGGAGAACTAATTACAAATCATTCAGAATGATCCTTCAATCATTCAGATTGAAGGACCATATCCCCTCAAAGAGGGCTGCAGGAAGCCAGATCCCTACAATCAAGTAGCAGTACCCCTCTCCCCCGCAGTCTCCAGAGGCCCTTTGTAAAGATGGAATCACACACGCACCTGCCAACAACTGCTGGCAGAATGACTCTGTTCAGAGTAAGCCCTTCACAACGGCACCTCAGAGCTGAGTAAATATTTACCACCTCTAGGAGCTTCTAAAATAATTTTTCTAGTACTAAAATTACCTGACCATGGTTTCCATGACAGCAGCAGTAGATGGAGCAGGGGTGGAAAGTGGGGAGGTCTTCTAGTTTGCAAGTATACACCTGAAGCTGGAGACTGAAGTCTGAGGATTGCTAACTCTCAGTTTCCCCTCCCTCGGCCAGGTGAACATACAGTTTATTAAAAACTGTATATTGGGCTTCCCTGGTGGCTCAGTGGTTAAGAATCTGCCTGCTAATGCAGGGGACATGGGTTCAAGCCCTGGTCTGGGAAGATCCCACATGCCACGGAGCAACTACACCCGTGAGCCACAACTGCTGAGCCTGCGCATCTGGAGCCTGTGCTCCGCAACGAGAGGCCGCGATAGTGAGAGGCCCGCGCACCGCGATGAAGAGTGGCCCCTGCTTGCCACAACTAGAGAAAGCCCCCGCACAGAAACGAAGACCCAACACAGCAAAAATAAATAAATTAATAAACTCCTACCCCCAACATCTTCCCAAAAAAAAAAAAAATCTGCCTACCAATGCAGGGGACACGGGTTCGAGCCCTGGTCTAGGAAGATCCCACATGCCGCGGAGCAACTAAGCCCATGCGCCACAACTACTAAGCCTGCGCTCTAGAGCCGGCAAGCCACAACTACTGAAGCCCGCATGCCTAGAGCCTGTGCTCCACAACAAGAGAAGCCACTGCAATGAGAAGCCCGCGCACTGCAACGAAGAGCAGCCCCCGCTCGCCGCAACTAGAGAAAGCCTGCACGCAGCAACGAAGACCAACGCAGCTAAAAATAATTAATTTAAAAAAAAACCTGTGTATTAAATACTGCCCCTTTATGGGAAGTCAGTGGCCTTGAGGGACTAAAATCCAAAGGCTTAAGGAAAAGAAGATATGATCTGACCTACAAAATCCCCAAGGACCCACATTAGTAAAGAACTACTGAACAAACTGGGTTCCAAGTATTCTACAACCAAGAGTCACTTTTATGTGAAATGAGGATTTAAGGGGAAAAAATTAGAGATGACTCAAAGCCCATTCCCTGGAGAATCTTCACAGACTGGACGTGAATTACTCCTTGGAGAAAACCTGGAAGGGACATACCTCTAAGCAAATGCAACCCTGAGACTTGTCCAGGATAGCTTAAGAGGAAGTTCTAACTTGTTTGGGCCACAGCTTCTGCTTTCTCCACAGAGGAGTGACCGGGAGCTTTGAAGGCTTGTGAAACTAGGAGCTACATGTCTTAAACCCCTCCAATCTTTGGCACTATTTTCATCTCATTCCTCAAATCTGGATGGGGGTGGGCAAGATTTCCCCATCCAAAGAGAAGAACAGGGCCAAAGAGAAGAAAGGATACAACAAATGCTCCCTTGGGTAGAAGAGTCACAGTCCCTGCCTGGGATGCTCTTCACCAGTGCTTCATACTCCAGGCCTCTAAGGGGCTTTCCTCATCACTCCCAGCTGTAATAACTCCAGTCTCTTCACTACCCTCGCTGGGTTTTTGTTTTTACCTTTCTTGTGAGTGTATTAACTCAGTCTTTAGATGATAAGCTCTGGAAGGCAGGCCTTGGGTCTTCCTCATTCTATTTTCTTATCAGACTCAGCACAGAGTAAGTGTATACCTGGTCAGGAAGCTACTGCCTCTGTATTCCTGGGCAATAGGTGGGCCTATGCTGGAAAATAACCAAGCCAGAACAAGCTGAGATCAGTCAACACCAGGTTTTGATAACTTCTGTGTGCAGAGATCTGTGTGGAGACTCAGAGGAAGAAACCAGTAAGTCTTGACCTTAGAGACACTCTGGTCTAGTGGGAACCACATACATGGGGTTAAAAGCAGTGGCAAGACTTGTTGGAAAATTCAAATGCAAAGAACAAAGGGCAAAGAAGGAAAGAGGGGAGGCCTACACATTCTGGGAAACATCTACACCACAAAGGATATCAGGAAAAAAAGGAGACCCTCCCTCCCCCTTCTCTCTGGAAACAGTTTAAAGTTCACTCTCAAGACAGTCCAAAAAAGCAAGAAAATAAATGCTTCCTCTCTTTTGTGGTCCCATTCTGCCATATCATTTCACTTACTAGCAAACGTATCACTACTCAGAAGAACAGGATGCTGTGGTACAAATTAGAGCAGGACGACCTTTCCAGCAATCAGGGTGGGGAATAAACAGTTTCGCCACCCTTGGGGTCTCTTCCCCTCCACCCAACTGGTGTAGGGAACAAACAAAGGTAGAATGACTTTCTTGCTACAATTCTAGAGTTTCAGTGCTAGATAGAACACAGGGCTCAATAAATACTTTGACAGTGACAGTGGCCATTTCTAAAAACGCAGATAATTTAAATT